GAGAGAGAGAGAGATAGAAAATGATCTATTGACGTTTCTGGCATTTTCTCCCAAGTAGCTAGCCCTGGTTCTATATGTTTATATGGTGTTTTCTTGTTTCTAATGGAGATGTCAGCAAAAGGTTGACAACAGTCTAGACTCATATTTCTTCTTCAGAAGGATCCTGAAATGGTTTGCTGACTAAACTATTGAGGGGTTGCAGGCATTCAGCCTTGCCACCCTAAATCACTATTTTTGATGACATTTATTTCCCTGAGTATATGTGCCCGTGAAGTGAACCAAGATATTATGTACTTAGTGGTTTTATAGGGCTCTAACTTACCTATTCCAGGTGACTTCCGGACAGTCCTTCCTTAGCTTATCCTTCATCCATCCTGTCACCCCCCCCATTAACATCTTTGGAAAAGCCTTCATTCTTTGATGTAAAATTAAATAAGGAGACTTGTGCTTCCAGACAAGATGGAATAATAGGGTTAAATCTCTTACCTTACAAAGCTACAAAACTATACAAAATGAATGAAACATTTTTTGTCAGAAATTGGACAATAGACAGCACAGACTTAAATCACTGAGAAGTGGAACAAGGTGATTGCATCAGCTTATGGGCTGGAGGCAGTTTCCAGAAGCAGCTCAGGGAGGGGAAGACCAAACAGAACTGGCTGTCTCACCAAAGTGAGGAGACCCAGACTGATTGGGGGATGCCAAGGTGGCTAGAATTTGTAGGGCAGAGTGGGTAAAATGTGTGTGTGGTAATAAAAATTATGAAAACAACAGTATCAACTCATAAATTAGTAGTTAAGTCAGGAGTCTGGGTACTCTATTACATATAGCACTACTTATTTGGGTCCTAGATTTGTTTGATCATTCTCTTATGGTAAACATCCTATATCTACAAATCAGCTGCCCCTTTCTTGGTCTTTTCCATGTTTTCAGTTGATGTAGCTTCCCTACAAGATAGTGAGCACATCATTGGTTTTACTACCAGATGATTCTAATTTCATTTCAGGCCAGGTTTCTCTAGAGGGGTGATTTAGCAGTTTAAAAGTTGACTTTATAAAAAGACAAAATGAATTATCAAATGCCATAAACATTAGATAAGCGAATATATTAACGTTTTAGGAAAACACTTTAAATGTTTATGTAGTTCTGTTGATTGTTTATAGCACTTATATTTTTGTATTCTGGATGATTTTTGAAGAATGTGGTTTTATTAAATTGAAATTTTACTTGTTGGAATAGGTGATTGGCAGCACTGGAATAAGAAACTTCAGCCATATTATTATCCAACTGACAGCATTCCAGAATATTCATCAATTTTGGTTCCAAATGTTGACAATATTCGAACAAATTTTTTGATAGACACTATTGCAAAACAATATAAAGTAAGTTTAACAGATTGTTTCTTAGATGATCACAAAGCATGTAAGAAGAAATACATCCTTTTCACATACTGCAGATAGATAAATGTATTTCTATTTTTTATTTTTTGAGTCAGAGTCTTCCTCTGTCACCCAGGCTGGAGTGCAGTGGCATAATCACAGCTACTGCAGCCACAACCTGCTGGTCATCTTTCTGCCTCAGCCTTCTAAGTAGGTGGAACTACAGGCATGTGCCACCAGGCCCGGCTAATTTTTTTGATTTGTTGTAGAGATGAGGACTTGCCAAGTTGCCCAGGCTGGTCTCGAACCCCTGGACTCAGACAATCCTCTCACCTCCACCTCCCAAAGTGTTGGTATTACAGCCACTGCATTTGGCCCAGACAGAGAAATTAAACTCCAGCTAGAGGTAGTGTCATTTGAGGGAAACATTTTTGGCAAATGAACCCCAGTCCCAGGATACGCTCCAACTCAATATCCCCTGAACTGCTGACTTCCAGCTTGCTAAGCAAAGTGGGTGTCTGTTTACAAAGTCTTTTCATCCTTCCATAGCTATATGAATATTCAATCATATTTTCTTCCAGCACTTTTAGAGTATACATTTTATATTTAAATATTCAACTAGGATTTATTTTGATGTAGGTGTAATTCTAAAAAGTTATTAAAATTAGTTGTATTACTTTATAGAATGGAATCATAGCCAGTAGAACAGTAAGGCATTTAAAACTAAGCATGTTAGATCAACATTATTATCCTATGATTGCAGGCTGTTTTGCTCACAGGAGAGCAGGGAACTGCAAAAACAGTCATGGTTAAGGCCTATTTGAAAAAATATGATCCTGAAATACAGTTATCCAAATGTCTAAACTTTTCATCTGCCACAGAACCAATGATGTTCCAGGTAAAATCCATCATGTGCTGTAGTAATAAACATAATCGATTTTAAAGTGGTGGCTACAATATTTTGACTTAATATTGAGACTTAAGCTAAACTTTGAAGTATATCTATTTTAATATAAATAAATGATTGTCATTCCAATAACTTATTTTTAAAAATATAATAACATATATTGTGATAGTTATATTCATACATATTGAATACATAAGTACATTATATTCTACTCGGAAAAAATGCTCATCATTTCTAGAGATATGGTTTAAAATCAAATGCATGGGTGGTTTAAAATCAAATGCATGGGTGGTTTTCTCTCACCCATGCCAGCTCTGGCATGTCTCTCCGTCTTTCCCTTCTTCTTTCTCTAATAATCTGTTTTAAAATTAAAAAAAAATCAGAAGCATAACACAAACCATATCCTTCTCTCTAGAGAACAATTGAAAGCTATGTGGATAAGCGAATGGGGAGCACATATGGGCCACCAGGAGGGAGAAAAATGACTGTATTTATTGATGACATTAACATGCCTGTGATTAATGAGTGGGGAGATCAGGTATGACTAAAATATCTCCTATAGATGATACTCAATGAGTATTGCTAGTTATGTAGAAATGTCAATAACCGCCATTTTTTTTTTTTAAAACAATTCTCAATCTTTTTCCACTTCTGTTATAGCTGACATTCTCCCGGAAATCCCAGTACTCTTTTCTGCAACTCCCTCCTATCTCTTTGGCTTCTTGGTTTCAGTGTCCTTTCTGGCTCCTCCCTGGCTTCTGCCTTTCCCCAGATTTCATCCTTGCTCTAACTTGTGCCTCTACACACTCCCTCTAAGGAGTGCCTGATTTTTTTTTTTTTTTGAGTTGGAGTCTCACTCTGTCGCCCAGACTGGAGTGCAGTGGCCCCTCCCGGCCACCGCAGCCTCGACTGCTGGGCTCCGGCGATCCTTTCACCTCAGCCTTCCAAGTAGCCGGAACTACAGGCGCGTGCTACCACACCTGGCTGATTTTTTAATTTATTGTAGTGATGAGGTCTCGCTGCCCAGGCGGGTCTCGAACCCGCGGGCTCAGGCAATCCACTCATCTCAGCCTCCCAAAGGCGCGGGATTACAGGCTGAGTCACCAAGCCCAGCTCTGAAGTTTTAAAAAAAGAAAAATGCCTTTTTACTTATTTATTTAACTGCACCACACACTATGGTCCTAGTTGTGATCATCTATTAACCCGAGTCACTCCCTGCTAGGGGACCTCACCATTGTTGCCAGAATGCCATGTGCTCCCCTTGGGGTCACCAACAACTCCCTCCCGATCGGCATACAACACCATCTACTTTGAGTCTATCAGGCCCAGTCTCCTGATCTTTATCTCTGTTCACCTCGAGACACCACTAGAAGCTCAGCACTCATCCTGAGACAAATCCTTAAATAGTTCTACTCCAAGGCAGATAGACCTCAGCAGTTCCTGAAAGGTGGGGTGAGCGGAGACATGTTTAGATCTGGTTTACCCTTATCTTCTGTGAGATAGAAAAGCTCCTGAATTCCAAACTCATTTATCCCACTTAGGATGTCGGATTGGATCTCAAACTTAATATGCCTCAAACCTGCTCCTTCAACAATCTTTTTCCTCTCAGCAGCTCCACATTCATTCTGTTAGAAAATAATGTTTTCACTGTCTTCAGATGATATCCAGAATTTGATAACTACTCATCACCTCCATTGCTACCACCTGGTGTTATATTGTCTCTCTTCTTGATCATGACAAATGCCTCTTCATTGCCTCCCTGTTTCCCTCACCCCTCTCAGTCTGTTCTCAATCAGTAAGCAATTAAAGCATGAGTCAAATCATGACACACTCCCTTACTCAACATCCTCCAGTGAGACTCTTCGAATATAAATATCAAAATCCTTACCATGACTTAAAGACCCTACACTGTTTGATCTCATCTCCCCATGACTCTTTGCTCCCACCATATTTACCGGTCTTTGTACATGCTGGGTATAATATTCACTCAGCACCTCTGCATTTACTGTTTCATCTGCCTAAAATGCTCTTCCCCTAAATACCTAACTGAATTGTTTTCTCACCTCCTTCAGATCTTGTCTTGTATGTCATGTGAGATGAAGCCTCCCCTGAGCACCTCTTATTTTCTTTCTCGGCTTTATTTTATACAAAAGACTTATCATATACCATTTTATTTATATGCCAAATACATGTGTACATTTTGTCTCTCACCACTAGAATGTGTGCTCCAGCAAGACAGGCCATTTTTTCTATGCTGCAAGAGAGCCTAGCACACAGTAGTCACTCATTAAATATTGACTGAATGAAAGATTGTTATGAGGTGCTTGTGTGCCATCCACTCAGAGATGCCCAATAGAAATTTGGATGTAAAGGTGTAGAGCTTAGATTGGAATCTGAAGCTAGAGTTACAGATTTGAGATCTTTAGACAATAGTGTTGAGATGGCATTTCCTGGAATAATGAGAAGAGAAAAGGGTCAAAGATGGGACCCTGGAGAACGGTAACATGTGAGGGGTGGGCGGATTAAGAGTGACCTAGGAAGTGATCCTGGAGTCACAAGATGGACCTGGAAAGAAAGGAGTCTGAAAGCAAGAGAGGAAAAATTTTCAAGGATGGAGTATTAGCAGTGTTAGAAGATGCAGAGAAGACAAAATGAGAACATAATACCCCAAACTCAAACATTCAGCAATATAATTTTCAAAGCTCAGGACTGAAACAATCCTACATTCTGAGCTTAAGTTTTTTGAAATATTGAGTGCTGAATGTAAAGAATGTCTATGGTAAAACTTACTGTAACTCTAAGTACCGTTGTAATTGTATCAAATATCTCACAACTCACCTATCTCAAATTATTTGGAAATTAGTTTTATCAGTGTGGTAAAGGGCACCTTGGACTTAAACCATACATATTTAACTTATGATTTAGAACTCATAGGTGGCATCATTCAATTCAAGTGACCTTGAAAGTGATCATCGACATTCACAAACACTTCACTGATGAGAGTTGAATGTTTTCTTTATCCTATCTATAGTATTATATAGAAGTTATGGAGGAATATGATTGTGATGTGTTACAAAAGTGTTACTGTATACAATTTCAGATCACTAATGAGATTGTGCGACAGATGATGGAAATGGACGGGATGTATAGCTTGGATAAGCCTGGAGACTTCACCACGATTGTCGATGTGCAGCTCATAGCAGCAATGATCCACCCTGGAGGTGGTCGAAATGATATTCCACAACGTTTAAAAAGACAATTTACTGTGTTTAATTGTACATTGCCTTCAAATGCCTCCATAGACAAAATTTTTGGTATGAACTCTCTTAGTGTTTAATTTTTTATTGCACTGCATGATGGACATAAACCATGCAAAACTTTATTTAAGAGATGAAAAGGCTCTGTCTAAATTAGGGGCTAAGTATCTGAAATGGAGAGCTAAATATCAGGAAAGAGGGATTAAATGCTAAGATGACTCTTGCTTATAGCCTATTCTAAGACTTGGGACTATTTAGAAATAGGTTTGTTGAAGGTTGGCATTGTTTTCTTGACATTCAGACAAATTTGGGTAATGAATGTCAACACAAAGACCACAGGTTTTTTGGTCAAAAACTGCTGAATACTCAGTGCAGTGTGAGCTAAAAAAAATAGGTTAACGATATATTACACAAAGTCAAATTTTGTAAATATTAATGAAAATGAGATCCTTGACACTGAATTTAGGCTCAGGTAAATTGTACCATCAAAACTTACGTATGTATGTGGGAAAGAGACCCATGATATGAGAACATTAATTATGTGATATAGCAAGTACTGTAGATCAGATAGGAAAGGGTATACTTTCAATAAGTGGTACTGGAGTATTTAGTAATTCTTATAAGGGAAGTAATTGAAATTGGGCACCTACCTCACAACAAGTACCAAGTCAACTACAGATGGGCTAAGGACCTAAATATGGAAGGCAGAGGTATAAAACATTTGGAAGAAAATACAGGGAAATAGGGGCCTCTGAGTAGGAAACTACTTCTTAAATGAGACTCAGCACAAAAATAAAGAAAATGACAAATTAGACTAGATTAAAATTAAAAGTCTCTTTATTAAAAAACGGTATTAAAAGAGTGAAAATACAAGCCCCAAAATGGAAGAAAAATATTTCAACACAAACATCAAAAAATTAGTGCTCTGAATATTTTTAAAAATCCTGTGAATCAATCAGAGCAAAGCAAACAACCCAATATTATATAGCCAATAAACAAATGTAAAGATGGTATGCATCATTTGTGTTCAAAAAAATACAAATTAAAAACACCAAGCTGACCAGACGTGGTGGCTCATACCTGTAATCCCAGCACTTTAGGAGGTCGAGATGGGAGGATTGCGTGAACCCAGAAGTTTGAGATAAGCCTAGGCAACATAGTGAGACATCATCTCTACAAAAAAATTAAAAATAGAAAACTAACCAGGTGTGGTGGTATGTGCCTGTAGTCCTAGCTACTCAGAAGGCTGAGGCGGGAGGATCTCCTAAGCCGAGGAGTTTGAGGCTGCAGTGAACTGTGATCATGCCACTGCACTCTAGCCTGGGCAACAGAGTGAGATCCCAACTTAAAAACAAACAAACAAAAAATGCCAAGCAATATCACTTTATACCCACTAGATTTGCAAAAATAAAACATTTTCACAAAACCCACTGTGGATGAGAAAGTGAAGCAACTGGCACTCTCACCTTCTGCTGGTGGGAGTGTAAATTGCTACAAACCCATCGGATAACAATTTGATGTCATTCTGGTAAAGTAGAACCCATGCACATCCCAAGGAGTTCTATTTCTTTTTTTTTTTTTGAGTTGGAGTCTCACTCTGTCGCCCAGACTAGAGTGCAGTGGCTGCTCCCGGCCACCGCAGCCTCAACCTGCTGGGCTCCGGCGATCCTTCTGCCTCAGCCTTCCCAGTAGCTGGAACTACAGGCGTGTGCTACCACGCCCGGCTGATTTTTGATTTATTGTATAGATGAGGTCTCGCCAAGTTGCCCAGGCGGGTCTCGAACCCGTGGGCTCAGGCAATCCACTCACCTCAGCCTCCCAAAGGCGTGGGATTACAGGCTGAGCCACTGAGCCTGGCTATTTCTAAGTTTATACAAGATCATCATCTTTTCCTGTATGGTTTGTGCTTCTGAGTCTTTCCCCCCCAGATGTCTTACAGATATTATCCCATTTTCTTCCAAACGTCATATAGTTTTGCCTTCCATATTTAGGTTATCTGTAGTTGATTTTGCACATGCATACCAAAAAGTCCTGTACGAGAATGTACCTCGTATGATGTTCATGATAGCAAAAACTTGAAATGTCCCAAATATTCATTGCCAGTAAAACTGGATAAATACATTGTGGCACAGGCACATAGTGAAATGCTACACAGCAGTGAAAATGAAGGAACACAACTATATGCTGCAACATGGATGAAGCCTGGAAACATCATGTGAAACGGAAGAAGAAAATCACAGGAAAAGTATATAATTCAATTCAATTCAATTTCAAAAGTTAAAAGAAAAATTAAAGTTCAAAAACATAAGCGGTGAAGGTGTGAAGAAAAGCAAGTTACTGGTTATCATCAAGTTGGAGTAGTGGCGACCTCTGGGGGAAGGGACGGGTTGGAGACAAGGATGAGCAAACGGACTCCTAATGTCTGGGGCAGTGTTGTCCTTCTCTTAGGTGTTTGCGTATCTATGAAGCTGTTTGACCCACTCCTCAATATAATTGATATATTTAAGCAAATATGGAAAACCAACCAACTACAAACTGAGGCTGGGAGAAGGAAATAGCCCAGTCAAGGCCATTAAGCTATTGCCTGGCAGAGGCATGGTGCTAAGCCTTTCTTATAGCATATTTGTCCCACAGGAAGGTGGAAATCTAGAATATAGAGTTTCAGGAAGCAAAAGGGCCTTATAGGCATCTAGCGCAACCAGCCATGACTTTTTCATATTTCCCCAAGGCAACTCTTCTTCAGGCTGAGTGAATGAGCCCCAGTTTCTTTAGTCTGCTCCACTCTTCATAAACCTGCTCGGCATCACCGATCAGATGTTCATATTCATAGTCCTCTGAAAATACCATGCTTAGAGCTGAATATATTACTCAACAACAAGTCCCACTGGCGTGAAGTAGGGTAAATCTCTTTGCAGTCTAAACCAAAGACATTTTGAGACTTTAAGAATAACCTATAAACTTACAACCCAGTCCTTTCTGAGGGTGATTTTGACAATCAGACTATCACTGGGGTGTTCCCTAAAAATGTCACACATCTAACCAAGGCCCGAGTGGTGACTGACTGCTGGTCAGGAGATATAAGTCCTGATTCCAGTTCTTTCAACAACAAATCCATGTGACTTTGAACAATTGACTTTACCTTTCTGGGCCTGGTCTCCTTCCCTGTAAGATGAGGGAGTGGTCTCTAAGTTCTTTTTCCAGTTCTCATTTTTGGAGGTAAATGCTGATTTACAGACTCTAGAGCCAGGTTTCTTGGGTTCAAATCTCAAATTTACCTGCATGTATGTTGTGTGACCTGCATGTATGCTTAGTAACATGTTACTAAGCTCAGTAATAATAATAATAATAATAATATCATCTACCTCATATTCTTTCTCATTCAGTGCTGGGAGGATTAAGTGAGTCACAAACTAAGCTTAGCCGGCCCATTGCTAACTCTCAGTCTTAACTGATCTCTTGAGAGAAATTCTGAACAATACCCAGCATAGTCAGTCTTGTAAGGATTTATTCATGGGGGTAAACATGTACTTTGAAATCTTTTAGTAAGCTTGTACCTTCAATCTTGCTTATCTTTCAGGAATTATTGGCTGTGGATACTTTGATCCTTGTAGAAAGTTCAAGCCTCAAGTATGTGAGATGATTGCAGATTTAGTCTCAGTGGGCAGAATACTGTGGCAATGGACTAAGGTACAGAGCTTGATGTCAATAACAAGAAAGTCAACTGTCATTCAGCCCTAGTTATCACCTCATGGCTCATTAAGTTATCATAGCATCATATGTAGTGGTGTTTTTGAGAAAAGACAAATTAGGTCCTCAGATAGATTTATGACACTTTTTCCTTCTAGAAAGCAAATATTCTGACTAAACAATGTTTTCCATATGTATGAGATGTTACTGTAAAGCAGACACGATGTCCAAGATAAAGTGGAATTTTGCTGAAATGAAAACACTACTTTTCCACTTGTTACTCTGATTGTGAATCTTTGTATTATGTCTCCCTCCACCACACTATGTGAGACACTCAAATGCTTATTAACTGACTTAAAAAGGAGATTTTCAGATATTCTCAGCTAACTAGGCCTTGAAGTCTAAGTTATGTTTTTCTCTGAGGTGGAGCATGCTTTAGTAAATGGATGGAAGTCTTTTTAACAAAACATGCTAGATTTGAATATACAAGTCAGTGCCCTAAGTAAAGCTCACCAAACCTGTAACTGTCATCGATGACTTAGACACTGCTCATGAAAAGGCAATTAAGTGTAGGCCTTAATTAACCTTAAACAAGGTTGATATATTTGCTAAAACGTGGTGAAGGAGGCAAGGATTAGTTGTCATAGTACACTATACATTTATTAGGCCAATGACACACATGTGGATGGGTGCTCATCTCCTGGGAAACCTGGAGTGTGCCAGCCTTTCAGGTTCCTGGATAGACTGGGGAATTCAAAATACAGAATTGCCGGAAGAGGAGTTGGGTGTTTCTCATGAGATGCTCTTCTATGCAGCCTCCTTCAGTGATCAGTTCCTTGTGTGGGGGCCTGCTTCTTACCAATGCAGGGTCTTTTCACATGCTGTTCTGCCTTTTAAAGAAACTCAGAAACGAATGACAAGAAGTGAGTATTGGAGATAAATTTTATAAGATTCATCTGTTTTCCAGTAGGGCTATTGTTCATTTTAATGTGCTTATATACATAGTTTTCTGAAAACCTTTGGCCACCCAAGTGTCTCTCTATCAAGTTTCTTTTGTTATTTGAATGTTTACTGGCTCCACTTCCTCACTGTCCTTTCTTTTCCTCTTTAACCTGTTGTGCACCAAAGAGCTCAATCTTGCCAAGTCCTACAGTTAATTTTCTTCTTCCTCTTATTTGACTTTTTAGCAGTGTTTGATCTAAATGATTCCTCTAAGTACGTTCTTCACATGGGCACAGAGGGTTTCCATATTCTTGGTTTTCTTCCCACCTCATTAGTAACCTTCTTAAAGTCCTCTCTCCTCTTCCCCTCCTGTAAATACTGGAATGCACCTGGTCTTGATGCTGGGACCTCTTCTCTGTCTACATTCTTTCCTTAGGGGGTCTTGTCAGCTTCAAGGCTTTAAACACCATCTCTATGCTGATGACTTCAAAATCAATGTCTCCATCCCAGGCCTCTGTCTGACTCCAGACTGACTTCTAACTGTCTAATAGACATCAGTGTTTGATGTTTAATACTCATCCTGAGGTTAACATGTCCAGACAGAACTCTTAAATGACTTTAAATATATTCCTCCTTCAGACTTTTGCATCTTAGTTAATAGCAACACCAATGGTCCTGCTTCTTAGACTAAAAAAGTTAGGCACCATCCTTCAGTGTCTTTCTCACTGTCTACATCCAAACCATCAGGAAGTCTCAGTGATTTCACCTTCAAAATACATCCCAAAGCTGAGCACTCTTCACCACCCCACTCTGACCACCCTGGTAAATGCTCCTATCACCTGTCCTCTGGACCAGGCAGTAACTTCCTAACCAATCTCCTTACTTTCTTCTTATCCTCCTGGAGTGTTTTCTTTACACAGTACTAGAATGATATTTTTAGAAAGTAAACCAGAGATCATTACTCCCTAAAACCACCAGTAGGATTCCCATTTACACCTACAATAAACCCAACCTGAGCTGCCTCCACTTCTCATCCTTCCCCTCCATCATCCTTCCCTGGTCTAGTGGCCCTTCTTGACATTCCTTGAGCACCCTGGGTTTTTCATGTCGTTGGACCATTATACTTTGAATCATTCTCATCCTTCATACCTTCAGAGGGACTTCCTGCAATCATTCTCCAAAATAACTGTCCACATTCCTCCTAGTCATGATCTATCTCCCGATCCTGCTTTATTTATTTATTTTTACTACAGCTTTTATCACTTGTGTATTTGCTTGTTTACAAATATATTTGTTTCCTATTTATTCTCAAGCTCCCCCACCAGAATGGACACTCCTTAGATGGCAATGGATTTAGCTGTCCTATTTACGGTGGTATCTTCTTAAGAGCAATGGGAGGTACTAAGTCATTGGAAAATAAATGACTCTTCCCCCCCTTCCCACCTTCAAATAAGCAGCCTTCTTTGTATCTTTTCTTCAGGCCTCCCATCTTCACAAAGCACCCTTTTACTCCATTCATGTCCCGTAATTCACCTCACATTTATATTACTTTACATAGCTTTAAAGCAGAAACAAGTGAGAAAAGAAAGAAGGTGAAAAAAAGTAAAGAAAAATATTAGGAGAGAAGGAAAGAATCAGGTTAACAAGTAATGAGGAGAAGGAAAGAACTTTTTACAGATTCTCTTTGACGACTGCTTCAGCTGCCAATGGCTGCCATCATAGCTATAGTGTTTTACCATAAAGGAAAAAAAGAGCAATATTCACATAACCTTACTTCTCTGAGCATTTTTGTGTGTTTGTAATATAGCTGTCTGTTTTATATTTTAATGGGTAGAATGAAATTTTAGCTCGCAATAGAACTGAGCAAAGAGGGAAATTGATGGATGATTGATAAAATAACACTTCTCTTCATTCCATCTTCCCATGCTACCTGCTGTTTTAATTTGCACTGTGAATTAGCCTGTAAAAATTACTCTACAGACTCAATAGGATATTTTTGCAATATAGAAGGGGCTTATTTTTATGATAAGATGCTGAAGAACGCATTTGCTTTCTTGAAATAGTTGTATGGGGAGTTTGTATCACCAGAATTATCACTGTTTTCATTTTCAAAAATGATGCTAATGATATTTGTACATGGCCAGCGATGCTTTCCACACAAAAACCGTAAGTTTATCCCTCAACTGGTATCTCTTTGGGTAAGAATATATTGTTAGAGCTTTGCTTTTTTATATTCTAGAAATTGGTAGAAATAGTAAGAATAATAGTATAGTCTTTGTGCTCAAACAAAAAACACACAGAAAACCACCCATTACTGTACTTACAGTTGCATGTCAGACTTGCCTGTCAACTTATAGATACATATATATGAAAGCGTGTCAAACGAGTTTGGATACCCACAGCCACAGTGAAATCCAGGTTGTGATATACAGATGTATTTATGGAAATCTAAATACATTAAGGTTCTTAATCAAAGTAATCTATAGTAGATGGTCATTATTGACATTAAAAGTGAACATTTATTGTGTTTACCTCCATGACAACCAGCTCACATTCAATTTTTGTTATGACATATTTCCACATACACTAGTAAGGTTAATAATGATTAGGAATGCTTATTCCCAAAATTCACATAGTTCTTAAGAGCTTGGGGAGAGGGGGAAGTGGTTTGTTCAAAGCCAACTTAATGGTGATAAAACCATTGGAATCTGTATCTAGTTGGAATCTGCATCTGGTGCATTTATCTTGCATTCATTTTATTCTAGGGCTTATGCTCCTTTGAATTCTTTGTTGGCTTATTTATGATATTTTTCTGTCAGTGCTGTGTCAAAAATATGAACTTAATGTTGATTTATTTACTCAGTCTATTTTACCTAAAATAAGATTTGTGAGATAGAATAGTTCTGAAAGTATTTTTGCTTTTAGTTTCATCTGAAAACTAATTGAGAGTATTAAATTTTTTTCATCTCTAGGTGAAAATGCTGCCAACTCCTTCTAAATTTCATTACATCTTCAATCTTCGAGATCTTTCCAGAATTTGGCAAGGAATGTTGACCATAAAAGCTGAGGAATGTGATTCAGTGCCTATTCTCTTGTCACTTTTCAAACATGAGTGCAACAGAGTAATTGCAGACAGGTGCATATTATAGCATTTAAGTTTAAATATGTGACCTGAGAAGTTTATACTATTAGATTAATTCCTGCGTGATCTACTCAGATAAGTAGAGTGATGAGCATTATCTTAATTTGTTATGGGACTTGTGAAGCATTGATGATATTTCCCACCTGCTGACTGCCTTAAAAAAAAATGCTCTGCCAATTTACTTGAATATGACTTCAACAATTCATCTTTATAAATCACCACATCTGACAACATTCAGAAACAAGTTTTAATTGTGCATATTTTCTAAAAATTGTGAGCTCTGTGTAGGTTTTGCATGGTGAAATCTGGTTTTACCTCATTAAATTAAGCAATCCCATTAAAGTTGAATTTAATCATCTTTCCAAGCCTCAGTTTAAAACTAGGGATAATAATGCCAATCTCACAAAGTTGTAAAGTAGATACCACATCTCACACGTAGGTGATACTTGGCAAGTGTTACTCCCTCTTTCCTCTGTGATACTGTAATCTGAAAAGGACCTTTACGCACTGTATGTCCACAAACCCAGAAAGAGGATGCTCACCTGATACTATCACTTCTGTACTCACACTGTAAATGTGAGGGATCTTTGACCTCACCTAAGTGATTCATCTCTATTTTCTATAAGTCATACTATTAATGTAATCACTCTGGATAAGGTTATGTCCTTCGTGTCAAAAGGCAGGACATAGTGTTTTCCTGTCCTTAGCTGAGGAGGTGCAGGATGGGGCTGAGAGGGAGTAAGGGGAACTGAAAAGATGCTTCAGATCAGTTAGAAAACATGCTTTCCTATTTTGCATTCTTACTCATTTTTCTTTCAGATTCATAACTCCTGAAGATGAGCACTGGTTTAATATACAACTTACTCATGCAATTGAAGAAAATATTGGCTCCGAGGTGGTATCATCTATTCATCCTGAGCCATATTTTGTGGATTTTCTCCATGAGATGCCTGATCCAACTGGTGAAGAACCCGAAGACACTGTGTTTGAAGTACCCAAAGTCTACGAGCTGGTATTTATTTTCATCTCTTAAAAGATGTTTTCAGATGACTTACCTGACTAGATATTTCTCTCTGCTCCAGAGTCCCACTATGGAGTTGCTGTAACTTTTAAGGTGTTTACATGTTGTGATTCATGGCCATCACACCGAGTAGCAGATTCTCCTCAATGAAATTTAACAGCAATCTCATTACAGTTAGGCATTTGACAAATATGCCTACTGCCATCAATTTATTTAATATTGCTTTGAAAGTTCTGGCAATGAAGCAAAATGAGATTGATTTTATTATCAGATTTTTTAAAAATCACTATTTGTAGATAAGATGATCCAACTACATAGTCCAAGAGAATTTAAAACCTATTTTTGACTAATAAGAGTTCAATAAGATGACCAACTGTTATTTAAATATGAAACACAGTAACTATCCTTCATACCAGGGGTTGTCTATGGGTCAGATCCAGTCCACTGTCTGTTTTTGTTAGACTTGTGAGCTGACAAGGATTTGTTTGCATTTTTTAAATGGTTAGAAAAAAAAAAGAAGAATATTGTGTAACACAAAAACTATATGGAATTCAAACTTCCAATTTTCATAAATAAAGTTTTATTAGAACATAGCCATACCTATTTGTATATATATTGTCCCTGGCTGCTTCTGGGCTATAGTGGCAGAGTTGAGTAGTTGCAACAGAAACTGTATGAGCCACAAAGCCTAAAATATTTACTATCTTGCCCTTTAAGGAAAAAGTTTGTTAACTCTTGCCAACAATCACAAGATAGAAAATATAACACAAAAGTATTTCATGTAGCTGGGTGCGGTGGCTCACGTCTGTAATCCCAGTACTTTGAGAGGTGGAGGCAAGAGGATGAACTCGGGGGTTCGAGACCAACCTGAGGCAACATGGTGAGACCTTGTCTCTACAATAAATAAAAAAATCAGCCGGGCATTGTGGCACATGCCTGTGGTTCCAGCTACCTGGAAGGCTAAGGCAGAAGAATCACTTGAGCCCAGCAGGTTGAGACTACGGTGGCTGTGAGCATGCCACTGCACTCCAGCCTGAGCAGCAGAGTGAGATTCTGACTTTAAAAAAAAGTATTTCATTTAACAGCAACAATAATATAAACTATCTAGGCATTAACATGATAAAACCTTACTTGATTAAACAGTAACACTTCATTCTTCCTAAATTAATATATAGGTTTAATAAAATTTGAAACATGATTTCAAAGGGTTTTTTTTTAAAAAAACAGAACCACATAAAGTAATTCTAAAGTGCGTGTAAATGGGGAGTAGCAATTTGCAAAATAAAGAGGGTATTTACTTAAGAACAACAAAGACTTGTGGTTTTGACCACATAAATAATGTAGAACTTTTAAATATTTTTTAAAGCCATAAATAATATCAAAAGTAAATAAAAACTAAGAAAAATATTTGTTAATTTAATCTGTTAATTACCATGAATAGGAGCTGGGACTGGGCCTCTTGAAGGGAAGGTCAGAAATGATTTGTGTTGGAAACCAACTAATGAAGTTAAGTGTCAGGCTTCTGAAAATGGAAATAAGTAAAAGTAGAGTCATGTGGCAAACCTCTAGAAATTCATATGGTTTAAGTATACACACAAAAGATATATGTATACACACATATTTAGAATTATTTTTGAGTATCCTTACAATTGCTACTTTAATAAATTTTTGGATCTTAAATATTAGTTCTCTCTCTCTCTCCCTACCCATAGGTACCATCCTTTGACTTTTTGTGTGAAAAACTCCAGTTTTACCAGAGGCAGTTCAATGAAATCATTAGAGGAACATCTCTTGATCTGGTGTTTTTTAAAGATGCAATGACTCATCTTATTAAGGTTCTAACTACTGGCTATTAACTGATATAAATAGATAGGGTAAAAGCTTAGTAAATTTCACAGATAAACTTTTTGAGAGAATACATGCTATCAGGTATCATATAGAAGGGTATACATAGGTTGGGTCTGTTCATTGTCCCAGAAAACAAAGGCTTAATAAGAGACCCCTTATTTGAATCCACCTACAAGACAGCACATGTTTTCAAGGGCAAATTGATAGGTTTTGTGTTGAGTGCATTTGTACATGAGTCAAAGAGTCTTGCCTTCCTAGAAAGTGAGCTGGAGAACTCTGTGAAGAAATATACCTCTTCAAATTACGTTGTGATGCTATAGGAATCTTGTTCCCCATGGAGGAAAAGCTGCTGCTTTAAAAAGTGTCAATGTCATGGTTGGCTTACAGATTATGGACAAACTGGTGAGGAAGGGGTAATGTAGGTATATGGAACTGATGAGAAAATAGAAGCCAGTTAGAGCACCACAATGGAACATGCTTGGATCTAAGCCTGAAAGGCAGCAGAAAGTTGTTTACTTACAACAGGTGGTTGATGGAAAAGGAATTTCTCTAGAAAGTAATGACATGGAGTAGAGATATATGATTAAACGGAATCAGGGAGTTCTGTATTTATTGTATAGTTGTCTTTTGCAAAGTATATGAAATGTCAAATGTCCTAGGGGTGTTTTCACATTCATCCCATCAACAAGTAACTACTGAATACCCACTGTGACTAGATGTTGGGGGCCTGGACACTGTACTAGGTGCAAAACCATAAGTGATCAACATATTTTTAAAATCAGTGATAGAATATTATTATTGATCTGTAAAACTTGCATTTTAAAAAATCGTTTTTATTGGTAATAATAGACTTAATGATCCATCTGGACTTTTTTCCTAATCAATGACAAATAAAATAAAAGACAGCTTTTTAGCAATGTCACTTGGCCTGCATAAAAGGGTTGAGCCACAACTTGTCTTATTCTCACTGAAGATATTGACCACAGAAAAACAAAAGACAAAAGTCTTGTCTCTAAAGGTTAACTTCTACAAACATCTCCCCACCCCCACTGTAAATAAAATTCTGGTAGCTTTAAAAAAATGTTCCTTGGCAGATATGATATGGCAGTATGATATGATACATATGATAGAGGTAGTATTCATTGTAGAGATAGGTGTCTACCTGTTTCAGTATGTTAGACTGATAAATAATAAGTGAACAATTCTAATCTTTTCTTATATCTTCTGTAGTTTGGAAAGAGCAGTTCCACCATCCATTGAGTCTCAAAATAATAAAATTACACACACACACACACACACACACACACACACACACAATAATTTTGAAATAGAAGGGAATAAAGTCAATTTGTTCTTTTTTTTATAATGTAAATATAGACAGGAAAGGAAAGAGTTTGAATTGAATAAATTGTTATGGATCTTTAATTTTTAAAATTCTGTGCAATACCATGACATAGAAACTGTCTAACATTGTATAGAAACATATGTCCAAACCTTGGACCGATCCATTTAGTTCTAGAAAATGTAAATATTTGCATCCTATTTACACAATAGTGTTTGAAATAAAGCTATTTTATTTCAAAACAGATTTCACGAATAATTCGAACATCATGTGGAAATGCGTTGCTGGTAGGTGTTGGTGGTTCAGGAAAACAGAGTCTTTCAAGATTGGCCTCTTTTATAGCTGGATATCAAATATTTCAAATAACATTAACCAGGTAGGATAAAATAAGTTTTTCTATAGTTAATTTCTTAGGAGTGAAATGTTTATTTTTTTAAAAAAAAAAACACAACCGTTTGGCATATTTGTTTTTTAAGTGAATGTTCTTATTTGAGTATTACATATACAAGGAAATATACACAAATTATGGGTGTCACAAAGTAAATATACCTATGTAGTCAGCCCACAGACGAAGAAAGAAAACACTACTTGTATGCCAGGACCTTTGTGTCATGTCGCCATCATTACCCTCCCAAGGATAGTCATTGATTAGTTTTGTCTAGTTTGACCTTTGTATCAATTGAATTATACAGGATTTGCTGTTTGCATGGTTGCCCAGCATAAGTGAGCTCCAACGTCTGTTACGTTAACTTACCATGGGGATTTACATAACGTAAATGTCTGCTTTATTTTTACACATCATGATACTTCTGGTAGCACATACATTTAACAGGAAACAGTAAATAGGAAAACAAATACCAGGGCTTTCGCTTTTCATCATCTGTAACCATCTAATTATAACATTTCTATTCTTTATACCATATTACATAATGGATTTTTTTGTAGGCTTTCTCTGTATCTAGCCACTTAATGAGCTGTGTAAATTACCACTATATACTTTATCACTAATTTTTATTCATAATTTAATGTGACTTTTTCACCAATCCAAACTCATGCAAGTTTCAAATTGGTTTTAGATTTTGTACATATATTTACTTGGCAAAATCTGTTGCTGAGAACTGTCAGATTACAGGGACAAAAAGTGTATTTTCCTATTCTCAGTTATGCTTCATGGATCACATCTGGTGAATTCCCCATTTCTCAGTTCTCAAATTAAATAAAACATATTTGTTTTGAGTAGTAACATAGCTCTTTAGCTCTAATTTTTAGTAGACACTGTTACTTAGTATCTATTGGAGCAGGTGCTGATTATGCTGTAATTATTGTGGGTTAGTATGTTTTGAGATTAATTATGACTATACATTTTTTAATTTTAAATTTTCTATCACTTTTCTTTTTAGGTCTTACAATATAAACAATCTAACAGATGACTTAAAAGCTTTGTACAAAGTTGCTGGTGCTGATGGAAAAGGCATCACCTTCATCTTTACTGACAATGAAATAAAAGATGAGGCATTTTTAGAATACCTTAATAATTTGCTATCTTCAGGTGAGGTAGGTCTCAAAAGTAGAGAAAAAGCTCATCTTGTAAAAATGTAAATTATATTTGAATAGAAAAAGCAGCCACCCTCTGGAAGAAAGGCCATTTAGCATGTGTTTGATTTTATAAATTATTAGCATGTGAGATTTAGTAGATTTTTTAAGTGCCTGTGAAATTAATGCTGCCCACTTCCAGATTTCTGTATGCTTTGTCCCATTTTAAATATGGATCCTTACTTGTCTCTTCAGTTTTCAGTTTGATCCTATAACTCGTTTTAGGAGAAGCAAAGCCTCTCTCTCTCTCTCTCTCTCTCTCTCTCTCTCTCTCTCTCTCTCTCTCTCGCGCGCGCACGCGCGCTCTCGCTCTCTCTCATCTATCTATCTATCTATCTATCTATCTATCTATCTATCTATCTATCTATCCATCCATCCATCCATCTATCTATCATCTATTTATCATCTGTCTATCTACCAGTCAGGATTATAGAATGGTTAAAAGAGTTCTGGTTAGTTATAAGTGAATGTTCGTATTATCACCACTTCTGATACTACTTCTGATAGCACTTCCGTGAGCAGTCATATAGTTGATATTTTGTTTGAAGAGCTCACAGGAATCAGCATATATAGGCTGAGCATCTCAAATCCAAAAATTCAAAATCCAAAATGCTCCAAAATTTAAAACTTGAGTACTGACATGATGCTCAAAGGAAATGCTCATTGGAGCATTGTAGATTGCAGATTTTCAGATTAGGGATGCTTAACTAGTAAGTATAATGCAAATATTCCAAATAAAATTCCAATTCCGAGATGCTTCTGGTCCCAAGCATTTTGAATTAAAAAATACTCAACCTGTTTTTGTTCTTATGGCTAACATTTATTACAGCAACACAGTAAGGATACACAGCTAGGTCAGTAAAAAAAAAAAGACACATCATATGAAGTCTGGAATAATCCATGTACGGGCTTCCTGTGCTCTCATCAAAGGGCCATACAGAATGTGTTCTTCCTCTAGTACGAAATAACATGTGCTCTATGTTTCTGTTAACGAAAGCCCATTTGAGTCCAGTGGTTTTGTTTGGGGTTGGTCATGTAGTTACTCCCGCCTAGCCACAATTGCCAAAGTTCCAGACTCCCAAAAGGAAAGCATGTGTTTACCACATACCACAATGTATAAATTGTCTAGTAGGAACAGCAAAACAACCTTATCAATTAGTAATGGGGGAGACATTCCAAAAACTGAGTTCCCTAATGCTAGCCGAGGGCCAGCTCTGCAAGCACACCCTTTTCAAGATTAGACCTACCATGTTAACGCTTCCCTGCACAATGGTATACATAGATGCTTAACGGAGCACAAGCTCCTTAAATCTCTTGGAGCCAGAAGTTGACTCTGAATCACAGAACAGAGGGCATTCCAAGACATTTTAAAGAGGTGATTGAAATAGTGGAGGAGATAGCTTTTGGCTAGTAGCTATTTGAGCACAGGAGAACATAATTTGCTCTTGATTAAGCTGCTTCATTACTTTTGGTAATCCCTGGCAATTCAGGGATCTGGAGCACAGAAAGAAAATATGAAACAAGTTGTCATGTAAAGAAAAAAAAGGCTAGACTTTGGCAGTATTGGTTGTGGGGGGCTTTTAAAATATATCATGCTTTTTTGTCTGTTCCTGAAAGATCTCTAATTTGTTTGCACGTGATGAGATGGATGAAATCACCCAAGGTTTGATATCAGTGATGAAAAAGGAGCTGCCTCGTCATCCTCCTACCTTTGACAATTTGTATGAGTACTTCATTACAAGGTCAAGGAAGAACTTGCATGTCGTTCTCTGCTTTTCTCCAGTGAGTTTTAATTTTTATTCATGTAGAAAGAGTTTTTTATTTAAAGGTACTTAGTTTACCTTTTCTGATGAGATTATTTGCTTGGAAATCAGTGTTTTTACATTGAATTAAAATGAATAAATACTGCCACCAATCTCCATTGACCAAAATCTCATTTCCAGTATGATAATTTAAAACATTCAAATTACTAAAAATTATTGCATAACCTACAGTTTTCATTCATTACCTAGGGACATGAATTATTTGAGTTGTAAGGGATTTGGTGAAATAATCCAATATAAACATGCCAACTTTACTAGAATGTTCCTGATATAGTTTGAATATCTCTAACTCACTGTGCTGTCCAGTACAGTAGCCATTAGACACACACAACTGTTTAAATTTTGATTAATTAACATTAAGTAAAAATAAACATTAAATTCCTCAGTCCTACTAGCCCCATTTCCAGGGTTCAGTAGTCATGTATGTCTGGGGGCTACCACTCTGAACAGCACATATGTGGAACATTTCCTTAATCACTAAAAGTTTTGTTGGACAGCTCTGCTCTGGGGGGGGGGTCTCACTAATTTACCAGGCATCCTGCTTAATTTTTAGAAAGTGTAATTGCCAGAAAGCTCTTCTTTGTAATCAGTTGAATTGTATCTTTCGGTATTTTCTCCTTTGATTCTAGTTCTTCCCCTGTAAAATGAGCCTGATCCCTCTTCCACATAAAACTTTTCAGATATCTGGAGAAAGTTTTTGCAGGTTGTTTCTTTTTAGACCAAACATCTGTTCCTGCAGCTGTTCTCATGTGCCCTCTTGTCCTGGTCTTTTACTGTCCTGGCTCTCTCTCTGAAAGAGTTCTAGTTTGTCAGTTTACTCTCAATAAGTAGTTTATAGAATCAAATGCAATACTGTAAATATAGTTCTAGGACAAGGAAGAATGTGGAATATATTTCCTTTCTTTATCTAAATGATATGTTTATATGATATGGCAGCCCATGAATCTTTTTCAAATTCATGATGTCACCCTGTTGGCCCAGACTGCATGAATCTCTCTGTCACTTGCATTAGTGTCTCTGTCCCTCTGAATCACTAATGCTTTTTGATTTTACCATCAATAGGTTGGTGAGAAGTTCCGTGCCCGTTCTTTGAAGTTTCCTGGATTGATATCAGGTTGCACTATGGACTGGTTCAACCGCTGGCCGAGGGAGGCTCTGATCGCCGTGGCCTCCTATTTCCTTTCAGGCTATAATATTGTCTGCACTAGCGAAACTAAAAGACAAGTTGTAGAAACAATGGGCCTCTTTCATGACATGGTTTCAGAGAGCTGTGAAAGTTATTTCCAAAGGTAAGTGATAGTACAGAACCACCATAGTACAGAACACAAAGTATACTCCAAAGAAGAGTTAAATGTAAAATCCAGTAAAAAGACTCTTCATGTTGATTGAACATGAGGTCCTGGTTGCATTTGAATTTTCCTTGCTTTAATTTTCTAGTGACTATGTGTTGAAAAATGGCAAACAAATGAAATTGATTTAGAAATTAACCAGTGTCCACACTTAAATACTCTTTTATCCTCCAGGCCTCCAAGTAACAGATGGTTAATGAATTGCTTTATTTCATTTGCCTAATTTTGTTTTGAAAATGACTTAACTGATTCATCATAAACAGTTTAAAATTAATATCTTATTCAAATGCATTATTTACTTTGATTAAAGAAGTATACTGTTTTAAGGTTTCTTTATTGCCTTATGTTTAAAGGAACATTTAGGTTTTGTATTTGCATTACCAAGTCTTATCAATGCCTTTGTGCCAAATAATTATGAAACAAAATATTAAGGGACTGTAAGAAAACCCTTCAGTAAAGGCAGAGATAGTGTGTTCATTATGCAAAAGCTGGTGTCAACAATTCAAAAATATAGTTTTATTTTTATTTTTTCCAAAAGCATGGTAGTCACTAAGTAAGACTGACAGATGGGCCAGGGTGGATCTTCAGAACAGTGGGCTCCTCCCTTAGGGCTCATGGACGGGTGTCATGGGTACAGAACCTCCTAGAAAAACTATGCTTGTTTTTCTGCATAGAGAGTTTGGATAACACTTTCATTAATTTTCAAGGAGGTATCTGCCTTGCAAAAGTTTATTTATTCCAGACCTCTTCCTTTATTTAAAGCAATTCCCAGACTACCTTTCTTAAATAATTCTAAATAATCTCCCAGATTCCCTTGGTAAATCAGTGTATATTAATTCTTACTGATAAGAAGACTTTCTTTTCACTTAACTTGAGCTCCTCCTGCTAATGTCATCTGTGGAGATAAATCTTTACCTTTGTATAGCTACAAAAGCTTGTTTCTTTATTTTTGAAAATTTTGGTGCATTTTCCAAAGTTTTCATATCTTCCTAGGTTGTAGAGATTTATTCTGAATGTAATTATTTTATAACACTTTAATTATAGTCACATATATACCCAAGTCCTTGAAAACAAAACCTTAAAAATGTTAAAAATCTTCAGAACTTCAAAAGTGAAAAATTAATATAAAAGGTAAAATTTTTTTAATCTGTGAAGAGCTCTTCTTTGACTTGAGTTTCTTCTATGTAAAATCACTCCTTTTGTTTATTTCTGTCATTAAGTATAATTACTATAATAAAGTCCACAATAAGTTGAACATTTGAATCAAGTATGGTTGCCGTGATCTCAGGGCCAATCCAGTGAATCAAAGGGAGAGATTGGTTTTGGCATTTGTAAACTCACTTAGCTGGTGCCTAGCAGTGAAGAGGTATGTGGCAAATATCAGTTGAATGAAAATGGATCACAGCATAAATTCATTTCAACCAGTCATTGCTAATATTTGTTCAGAACCTTAAAATGTATAAAGTATGTTCACATGTGCTTTTATTTGATCTCCACAAAGTTCTGGAAGGGGTAAGACAGACATTCTTCCCTCATTTTCCAGATGAGAACACAGAAACTCAGCCAGAGGAAGGGTGAAGCCAAAGACCCCTAAGTGTCAAAGCATTAGAGATTTAGTGCTCTTTCTGCCCCACCTCTGGAAAACCGTGCACAATTCCTGCCAATGACTCACTACAGACTCACACTGATTTCACACAGAGAAGGGTGTCATTTTATGGGAGTACACCAGAATGATAGAAATGGTCATTTTTATGTTCTACTTTCAGATACCGCCGAAGAGCACATGTGACTCCCAAATCTTACCTCTCATTTATAAATGGATACAAAAGAATTTATACTGAAAAGGTGAAATTTATTAATGAGCAGGCTGAACGTATGAATATTGGTAAGAGGACTGGAATCTTATCTTTTTTACAGTCTGTTTG